CCTCCTTCAGTCCCTGCCTCCCTTTTCCCTTCTTTTTTTTTTAAAGATTCATTTATTTGTGCATACAAGAGCTGGGGTACAGGCCAGAGATACGGGGTGTGTGTGTGAGAGAGGATTCACCAGAGTCAGAGTGGGGAGCAGAACAAGCAGACTGACTGAAATACACTGCTGAGGGGAGCAGCGGGCCAGTCAGGAGAGGTCTGCTGTGCCATGTGGGTTTCTCTGTGGCCGGGGATCGAACTCGTGCTGCAGAGGCTGCGGATAGTTTCATAGTTTGGTGCTTAACCCCTTGCACCATCAGGGAGGCCCCTCCCTTCTTTTTTGCAGCAGTTGCCAGGTCTCCACTCTGCGCTCAGTCCCCTGGGCAGACACCAATCATAGCTCAAGGAAGTCCCCACACATAGGACCTTTCAGGACCGTTGAGCTGTAAAATAATAAATTCAAGATGGGAAGGGAAGAGCCACCCTTTAATTATATGCAACAATGGGTCATATCCAGTGAGTTGATATAATTCGAAAGAGGTGATAATAAAGGGTAGACGAAAGGACATTAAACTTTGAAATTTTATTTTTGTGTGTCAGATTTTTATTAGGAAGACTTGTGGAGGGGCGGGGCAGGGGAGGAGGGGCGGGGCAGGGGGGGAGGGGGGGCGGGGCAGGGGAGGGGGGCGGGGCAGGGGAGGGGGGGGGGGCGGTGGGGGAGATCTGAAGCACAGAGCATAGCGGAGCAGCAGGCACAGAGAGAAGAGACCTTCTGCTGCACCACATGCGCTCTAGCTCCATGCCCCCTTCTGGGGGCTAACTCCCACGCTCCTTGCGGGTAGCTCCCTGGCCGGGGCTTCGAACTCAGGCCGCAGCGGTGAAGAGCGCTGAGACTAACCCCTAGGCCATCCTGGAGGCCCCGCCAGGGCTTTGCTAAATGGAGCCTTTAACCTTTATTAGGAGGCTTCAGGAGAACTACTGACAGCTGCTTCTCCAGCAAGTCAGAAGAGACTACGGCTGCCCTGCCCTGCCCTGCCCTGCCCTGCCCTGCCCTGCCCTGCCCTGCCCTGCCCTTCCCTTCCCTCGGTGATCATCACTGTCTCCTCCTAGGGCCCCTGGGCGCTGAGGGAAGATGGCTTTCAGCAGCACCTCCATGTCTTCATCGGTGACAAGAGGGGGCAAAGTATGGGGAATTTTCAAGTCTAAAGTATTTTTCATTGATGAATCAGAAGAAAAACCTACACAGTTCAGAAAGTAATCAGGATTGTACTGATCCTGAAAGATTTCTTTGGTGATGATCGTGTGTAAAATCAATATTTAGAAGTTTCTAGAGATTTAAGTATGCAGACTTCTGATGTCCTCATAGAATAATGAATGCTCTTAGCGAGCTGAAGAGACTCAAAAAAACAAAGTAAATAATCCAGTCACAAAATGGGCAGAAGAGCTAAAAAGGAACTTCTCCAAAGAGGAAATGCAAATGGCCAACAGGCATATGAAAAAATGTTCAGCATCACTTGCAATCAGGGAAATGCAAATCAAAACTACCATGAGATACCACCTTACACCAGTGAGAATGGCACATATTAAAAAAACTAGCAACAACAAATGTTGGCGAGGGTGTGGAGAAAAAGGAACTCTCCTGCACTGTTGGTGGGAGTGCAAACTGGTCCAGCCACTATGGAGAGCTGTGTGGAGATTTCTGGACCTACTAAACATAGAGCTTCCATAGGATCCAGCAATTCCACTCCTAGGTATTTACCCAAAGGACACAGAAACATCCATTCCAAAGAACACCTGCACCCCTATGTTTATAACAGCACTATTTACAATAGCTAAGCTTTGGAAACAACCCAAATGCCCAAAAATAGATGACTGGATCAAGAAGATGTGGCACATATGCACCATGGAATATTACTCAGCATTCAAAAAAGACAAACTCATGCCATTTGCAGCAACATGGATGGCGCTGGAAGGGATGATGCTCAGCGAAATAAGCCAGAAAGAAGATGAAAAACACTGGATGGTCTCACTCATAGCAGGAATTTAGAAACCAGCAAAGCACCTGTAGTCCATGACCTTAGTCTATCCTTTGCACTTGTTTTCTTCACGTTGTATAGAAGAAATGGATTAAGTAGAAGAAGCCATACATTTCTGGGCATTAAAGAATAGTTTGTGTGGTTGTTCAGAATCATCTTGGAAGGTGCAGTGATTTCTCTCTCCATATCCTCCAGATATTTCTTAGCTCGTAAGTGTCTTCTAGTACCACCGTCTCTTCTCCCATCAGTATACACTCTGTTTGCCTTCCTTGCTCCTAGAAGCTGCCCAAGGACATATGACAATATTCTAAGATCTTTCCAGGCCCTCCATGAATGGCAGTGGTTTCATATCACGCTTAAACAATCTCCTGAGGTTGTGACCTGAGAGGTCCCGGCTTGGGGGATCGTCCACAGACCACGGCTGTACTCCTTGCTCCGACCTGATGCTCTCCTCAGGATCGGGAACACAATGCCCTAGGGACACCAGGTGACTGCAGGTCTCCAGCATCACATCCCGGTACAGGGTCCTCTGAGCTTCACTCAGGCACTGCCACTCCTCCCAGGTGAAGTTCACAGCCACGTCTTCAAATGACACCGTCCCTTCTGAGGGAACATTTCTCATCTCAGGGCCGGCAGCCAGAGATTCGTCCGTTGTCGCTGCTCTCACAGACGCGCCAGGGCTCGGGAGCGGCGCTGGGGGGCGATGGGGTCCAGCACAGAGGACGGAGGCAGCTGTCAGGGTCCGGGAGTCTCCTGGCCAGAGCCCGCCACACGCTGCCTTGGGGCGCCCCAGCGCTAGCGGAGGCACCAGAACTTCCCAAAACTTTGAAATTTTAAAGGGAAGTTTGTGTGTTTACTATCCATGCCTTGAACACTGACTTTGCCAAGCCCTAGTCTGAGGTGGTAAGGCCGGCTCTCCCCTCCAGGGACAGGGAGAGAATAATTTCCTGTTTTTTAAGGAGATCAATGATTAGACAGAACATTCCTGGATCTTCTACGTGCAGGAAGATGGTGACCTCTCTAATAGGCATCTAGTCCAGGCTGCCATTCCAAGAAGTGATGTGTAGGCAGACCTCTAGATGGTGAATGGCAGCAGACCAGCCAAAATGCTGGAGAGCAGGAGAATGTTCCAGGTTGGTATAAGTTCTCAATTCAAGGGACAACATGGCAGCTCTGAGGGATTGTGAAGATCCAAATCTGCCGTGTCTGGTTGTGCAGGTTGTGTACTGCACAAGGCACTAGGCTGAGGAGTAAGGATCTATAGTAACCCTGGGCATAGACTTTCCCTTTACACAGCATGTCTCCTGTGTTTGGCTCCTGTGTTGACAGCAGTGTCATGCCAGGTTTTCTACTGTTGCATTGGCAAAAGATGGGGTCAGGGCAATAAAGCAGGAACTTAAGTAGAAGCGTCTTCTCTGTTTGCTTGGACATTGCATGACAGCGTGAGGATCCCTTGATTTCACCAGAGATGGGATTCCTTCTCCAACACTTCATCCTCACTGGGTGTGTTCTGTTCTCCTGTCTTCAGATTAGTCTGTCTTTCCTGATGTCATCCATGCCCTTGGGCTGGACTGCATGGAAATATTTTCTTTCCCACTATTTCCAGCCAACATTTGCCTAGTGATGCCTCATTACCATCTAGAGAACAACCTTCACAATGTATATTGGGAGTCATCACTTACTCTTCCTTCAGAAAGATGAGGTGTTTGGATGCATTGCTTTCTTCTTTTCTTTGGCTCCAAATCTGAGCCAAAGGCCCTCTAATCAGTTAGAATCATTTAAGACACCTTTGTATACTTTCCCAGTAATTAAAACTTATTTAAGTGATCAGGCAGATGAATCTCAGCTTGGACAAAGATAACCACACAATATCCTCGCTCTCCTTCAGCTCTGAAGCCACAGGGAACGGTGGCGAGGAGGGGGGTGGGCTTTGCCTTTCCACATCCCTTGCCTTTAAAGTTGCACCTGAAGACTGAACTCTGATTGAAGTAGTATTGACTCAACCTTGCCCATCAAAGTTCTTCAAAATGGGTGTAAAGGCCAGGAACGGGCACAGTGCAGGTTTTCTGATCCCATGCAGACCGGGTAAAGGAGGAGTCAGAGTCCTCAGTGGTTTTGCAGGTCTTTTATTGGGGTTCACAGGCATATGGCAGGCAGGGGTGCAGGCAGGGTGCAAGTCTTCACTCTATCTGGACTCTCTGGCGTTCGTTCTGCTGCTTCTTGGCTTCTGCTTCGGCTTCTACTGCTGCTGCTGCTGCTGGTGTCCCCGTGACGCCGCCCTTAAAAGCACAGTCTTAGCTCAGCTGAATCCCAACTACCTATGCCCACACCCTATTCCAGGTGCCCGCCATCAGGCATGCATTCAGGACAAGGATCCATCATCTATCCTGATGGCGGGAGGACAGAAAAGCCTGGTATTTTCTTTACCCTACAGTCCACCCCCTCAGGGTTTTCTGCCATACAGTCTATACATATATGTACAATTTTCTAAGCAAACAAACAAAGCAGCCATGGCCCACAAAAGCAAATACATCAAATATAACAAAATACAATATAACAAAATACAACAGAACACAAATAAGTCCAGGCAGGGCATCAACCTAGTGCAAAAGACAATTATTGGTACCAGCAGATGAGCCACCAAATCTGCTGCCGAAGGCACTGCTCATACGAGGGAGGGGAATCACTCCCGCATCTACTATAACATACCAGGAGCCGTCAGGCTTCCTGGCCTTCTCTGGCTGTCGTCTCGGCTACAAGGCACAGACAGCATCCACCCCCAGGATGCACTCGCTCTGGGATTGGCAATTTTATTCTGTTGGGGGTAATCGCCAACCCTCAGGGTTTCTGTCTGCAGTCGCTCCAACACTCGGCCTTCACAGCCACCCATGCGACTCGCAGACCCCTGCATTCAGGCCAACCCACTGCACAAGCACATGGGTCGGGGATCCAAACTCTGCATGCGGCTTGGGCTCCACCCAAGCCACGTTCCCCACCCGTCCCCCAAGGACAGGTTCCTCAGCTCCTCACCCTCACTCAAGATGAGCAGGGCATCACCCACAGGTGATTTTACGAGACTCACAGGGCTTCAGCATACCCAGGCTGCTTAACAGCCGCTTAGGGCTTCTCAACTTAGCATCAGTACCAGCTTTTGCCTTCTTAGTTGGCTTTTCTCCTCCACCTGGCTGCTGGGCATGCACAGGCTGCTTTTGGCCATCTAGGCCCACTGGCCACCCCTAGATTCCCATCTCCTGGGGTTTACAAACAAGACTGTTCCACCCCCAGGGTCCCAAAACATATCAACCTGCAAGGTCCTCCGCCTTCTGGCGGGAATGTCAGTCCATCAGTCCATCAGTTCAAGTCCATTGGCCTCTCCCTGCTTCAGCAACGGCCTGCTGCCTCAGGGGTCATTGGCTGGTCCTTTCCAGTGTCGTTGGCTGGTCCTCTCGGGTGTCTCCTCCATGCGAGGTCTCGTCCCACAGCTCCGGACCGTATCCACCTTCTGTGCCGCCATGGCGCCTCCAACGTCGTCACAGGCAAGCAGCCTGTTCTCCTTAGTCCCTCCAGGTCTTCAGAGGGCTCCAATACCCGTCTGCATGGATCCTGCCGACTTACGCCAATTGTAAGGGCAGGACAGGACACAGTGCAGGTTCTCTGATCCCATGCAGACCGGGTAAAGGAGGAGTCAGAGTCCTCAGTGGTTTTGCAGGTCTTTTATTGGGGTTCACCAGGCATATGGCAGGCAGGGATGCTGGCTGGGGGGCTGGGAGGCTGGCAGGACTCCCAGCTCCCAGCAAGTCTTCACTCTATCTGGACTTTCTGGCGTTCGTTCTGCTGCTTCTCGGCTTCTGCTTCGGCTTCTACTGCTGCTGCTGGCATCCCCGTGACGCCACCCTTAAAAAAGCACAGTCCTAGCTCAGCTGAATCCCATCTACCCATGCCCACACCCCATTCCAGGTGCCCGCCATCAGGCATGAATTCAGGACAAGGATTCATCATCTATCCTGATGGCGGGAGGGCAGAAAAGCCTGACATTTTCTTTACCCTACAATGGGGTTCTGAAATATTTGAGAAGATTAATATATATTATTATCTTTCAAGAAGATATTTTGAAAAGTAGACCTCACCTACTTCACATCAAAAAATCTGTTGGTTTGCAAATAGAGTTAAGAAAGGCAGAGTTTTCCCTAGCCTTTGAAATCAATACCATCAGGAAAAGGCAGGGGGACAAATGTGTTTTTGCCCTGCAATGGGGATAACAAGAGATTTGCAGTGGTCTCTTCCCAAGAACGGAGATGTGGCTGGAACACATCGTAGTCCCAGGCATGGCTGAATGTCAGAGACAGAGACCAAGGGAGCTGAAGGATTGTGCTGCCCAACCCTCTCTTCCTGGAGATGAGAAAACTGGGGTGTAGTGAACCCCAGTGACTTTTCCAAGACACATAGCAAATAGCAAAACAGTGGCCTGCCGACATGGCTCCCCAAGATGACCTAGTTCACTGCAAAGAACTTTCTTCAGCACTATGACGCTTGCTGACAAATTGTCTTTATAAGTAACATGGCTCTATGTGGATTCAGAGAAAATAAGTGAATTGGCCCCACCCACAAAGAATCATGATTCTTCTACTCCTAAAATAGTATCCTTACTGTTTTTGAACTAGCCCACTCACCTAGGGAGAACCCTGTAAGATGTGTCTAACATAATGTCTTTCTGTCTATAAAGAAGCTTAATTTGCTGCTCTTTCCTGAGCCTTTGTTAGGATCAAAGGGAGAAAATGGTTTGAAGCACAGGAAACAGAACGTGGTGGAGAGCGAGAGAGATTCTGCTTTCTAGATTAGGCCAGAAAGAGAAGGCAGTAAACTGTGTGTGCGTGTGTGCATGTGTGTGTGTGTGTGCGTGAGTGATGGCGTGAGTGCCTGGGTGATGGTGTGCCTGTGTGCGTGAGATGGTGTGTGTGCATGGGTGTGCACCGGTGACATGTGCATAGGTGTGCACGGGTGATGGTGTTTGTGCATGGTTGTGCATGGGTGATGGTATGTGTGCATGGTTGTGCATGGGTGATGTGTGCATGGGTGTGCATGGGTGATGGTGGTGTGTGCATGGGTGCGCAGGGTGATGGTGTGTGTGATGTTCGACAGAAAGGGCACATGTCTAACATATGTGGGAAAAGCATGCATCTTTACGTCAGTCAGATGGATTGACTCTGATGACACTTACTGTGTGATCTCCGTCAAAGGAGGTAACCTGTCAACTTCAGTTTCCTCTTGTCTGAGTGGAGACAGCCACCTATGGTCACTGACAGGGCGTCTTGGTGTGAAGATAGAAAAGGTAGAAAATGCGGGGCCTCCCCGGTGGCGCAGCGGTTGAGCGCTGGGTTGCGAAGCTGCCAATAGCCTCTGCAGCGCCGATTCGATCCCCAGCTGCTCCCCGGCCACCGGAGGAGGGACCCACATGGCGCGCAGACCTCTCCTGCCACCCGCTGCTCCCCTCAGCAGTGTACTTCGGTCCTTCTGCCTGCTCTGCTCCCCGCTCTGGCTCTGGTGAATTCTCTCACCCTCCCGCGCTTCTGACTGTACCCAGTGCTTGTATAAATAAATCAAAAAATAAATCTTTAAAAAAAAAGAAAGAAAAGGTGGAAAATGCAATGTCCCTGCTCACAGTGGCTAGAGGAGATGTCAGATTCTCTCTTGGGGGCAATTGTGACTAGAGAGAGTGGGAAGAGAGGGACCCTATACTTTCAATTTCCCCACAGTCTCAGTTCTCTGGGATGAAGATGTTTTCCATTGTGAAGCAAAAGGGAGGAGTCAGGAAGGAGACTTTATTAGGATGAAAAATGGCTACAATTTTGAGAGCAGACTTGTTGACAGAATGTGAGTAGTTTTCAGAATAATTAAGAAGAAAACCAGGACTGGGGAAATTAATTGCTATTGGTACGGCTGCCTTCCAAATGGCAACCTTGAGGTGGATGCAGAGTGAGGCCTATTTCCAAGGGGGTCAAGTAAGGCTTCCTCTCATAAGCAACTCGCTGCCCTGGGGGCCTGAGGTGGTTCTGTCCATCATAACTGTATCTCCCGAAAATGGAGATCAATATTTGTTAACCCCCTGCTGAGTACTGAGCCTGTCTCTGCTGCCTTCGCATGTACAAATTTACATATCTTATTAATCTTATAAATTAGGCATAATTACCTCTGTTTTACAGATGAGGAAATTGAGGGCTGAGAACTTAACTTGCCCAAGAACATGTGCTTGGAAATTGAGTCATCTAGAGCTCAAACCTGCCTTACCCCAGAGTTCTTCTACCTCCCCCAGGTGTGCAGTGGATGGACAGCGGAGAGGTCAACTAAGGACTCTGGGCACTTGGGTCTCACTTCATGGATGGCAATTTCATTTGTTCTAGATTTAAGAAGTGCCAGTTAGTAACTCTGATTTTGCTAAGTTCCTTCACCTGTCTGATCGCCACCTCAATTTCCACATCCCTATCCACTTCGTGATTTCAGAGACAGAGAGGCGGGCACCTGCCTGTGCTCAGAAGGCTCCCAGAGCCTGGCCTCATGGGTTAAAAATATGTACAGGAAAGTGTGTGTATGTGTGTCCGTGTGTATGTGTGTGCATTGAACAGGAAAATGTCTACAGTTATGTTGAAACAAAGCCTCAGTCCTCACTGTAGAGTGTAAAGTTTCAGGGAAGAACTGCTAATGCTCTCAAGGCCACACGCCTCACTCATGTACCCCAGATAACCGCTTAGAAGTCTCCTACTGCTGTATCCCTTCTGGGTTGAAAGTGATAATGTTCACCGGCTTTAGGCAATAAATATTCTGTTGCCTAATTGCTTGGGGCTCAGACTTTGGAGAAAGATCTCCTCTGAGGCCGCCAGCATTAATAAAGAACTTCCCTCCTCCCTTCTGAGTGCTGCTTGGTTTCCTGACGGAATTTCTGCCTTCACAGTATTACTCAACCCGTCTTTATTCAGGAACTTTATTCAGGTCTTTATTCAGGAACATAGGATTTAGGCTTCCTCTCATACTGCTCAAATGTCTTTACTTCAATTCTCCAGAGGCTCACTGCAGGAGACAGGGCAGCTGGGAGCCTGGTAACCTGCAGCATGCAGGATTTGGTGAACACTAGTAAGTTTGAGAAAAGATACAACCTGAGTACAGTCCCTGGGGCAAATACCCGGGAAACCCCAAAAGTTAGGGGACAGCCTGTTCTTACTAACAGCAGCCACGGTGGAGTGAAGCAGCCTGAATTTTGGAGACCCTGGGGTCAAACATCAAGTCCAAAATTACTGGGTCAATGGCATAGGCCCGGGTGCTTCTAATGGACAGCCATGCTCAGAGACCCCTCATGGGTCTAACCGAAACTTCCAAGACCCTTTTGCCTTAACCCTCCCTTCTCAGATGTCAGGCCTGCATCATGCTGTGAAGAAGGCTTGTCCTGCCCTTTGCTGCTCCTTCCCTTTTCATCCTTCAGAGCCGTTTTTCCAGCAAATCTCCAGCACTTCGAATCCCAAGTGATACTGCTATTCAGGGGATCTGACTGCCCCAGTGCTACTGCGAGTCATCTGAGAAAGCTTGAGCCTGGCATGAGCAGGACCCAGATGGGAAAGAGGATTTCATCCTGGGTGGGACCTGAGGCATGGCGAGTCCCTGGCACAGAGCAGTGGCCAAATAGCTAGAGATTCCCCGCAGCTACCTGGGAAAGCACCGTGATGGAGGGGAATGCCTTTGCCAGTGTGGCCCTGTAGGCTCTTCAATGATGTGGGGGAATCAGTGCCCACAAGGACAGCAGAGCTGGCCGGACACGAATAAGGTGTGTCCATGGCCTGCAGTGGGATAAAAAGAAACTAAGGGCGCCCGACAGCCAGCTGAGTGTGAGAGTCAGAGGGTTGCTTAGCGGGGAGGAGTTTCTTATCTCCTGTGAAAGAACAGGCAGTGTTCTCTTACAGTTTCTTCTTAGGCTCAGTGAGCTCCCTTCCCCTCTATAATAAGACAGTCCCAAGAGATTTGGACCTGATCGATATATCCCATAGGATGTCAAATGGATGCATCACATCTTAATCCATGACATTCTTTGATCCCATCACATGAGATCCTTATATGAAGAGGAAGAGAGGCCAAGTTCTCTGTCCATCACGTGTGGACACAGCAAGAGAGTTACCAGCATAACCCAACCATGCTGGTGCCCTGATCTTGAACTCCTGCCCTTCAGATCTGTGAACAAAGAAATTTAAGTCACCCAGTTGCTTTTAAGGCAACTTGATCTGACCAATGCAACAGGTAATAATAGATATGACCAAACTGTTTTCTGAAATGTTCCAAATCATCAATTTAAAATGGTTTCAATAGATCCGCATCCTTTCCAACAGTTAGTCTTGTCTTGTTCATTGTATCAATTTTATTGTCATCTAGCAGTGTCTCATTGTGATTTTAGTTTGAATTCCCCTGATTCATAATGAGGTTAGCCATCTTTTTGTAAAGTGCCTGTTCAAGTATCTCGCCTGTTTTTCTATTGGATTTTCTGTCTTTCCATGTTGATTTGCAGGAGTTCTTGACTTATTGCAAATATCTTCTCTTATCCTGGATTATATTTTCCCTTTCTTAATGAAAGCTTTGGTGAAAATGAGTTCTTAGTTTTTATGTAGTCCAATTTATCAATCTTCCTGTTAGGACATTGTGTGTTCTTTTTTTTTTTTAAAGATTTATTTTTTGATTTATTTATACAAGCACTGGGTACAGTCAGAAGCGGGGGCAGGGGTAAGAGAATTCACCAGAGCCAGAGCAGGGAGCAGAACAGGCAGACGGACGAAATACACTGCTGAGGGGAGCAGTGGGCGGCAGGAGAGGTCTGCGCGCCATGTGGGACCCTCGCCGGTGGCCGGGGATCAAACCAGCGC